AGTGAAGGAATGTAGGACCACAGCTGTCTTTCAGAATAGAGCCTCTGGGGTAGATGCCAAGAGCAGAATCACTGGAAATTCAATTGCTAGCTCTTTTTTTTTCCCCCTGAGGAATGTTCGTGTTGTTTTCCAAAAAAGGCTGGACCAGTCAACCTTTCCACCAGCAGTGAATGAGGGTCCCTTCTCCCCCACATCCACGCCAACACTGGATGCTTTTGTTCCTTGGGATATATGTCAAGTATCACTGGGGTGAGATGGTATCTCATTGTTTAAATCTGGGAACAACCCAAGTATCCAAGAGCAGATGACTGGATAAAGAAACTACGGAAAGCTACAATGGAATACTACTTGGCCATTAGAAAAAATGGAATCATGCAATTTGCTGTTGCTATGTAGATGGAGATGGTAAGTACCATGTAGAATGAGGTTAAGTCAGGAGAGGAACAGACACAGAATGATCTCTCGCATATACGGGATAGAGAGAAACAAAGTAGGGGAATAACAGATGTCCAAAGGCAACAGAAAATGAGATCTGGTTTTCAGTAGGAAGCGTTATGAGGGTTTGGGAGTGAATAGGATGGTGAGGACATTGGAATATGGTGAGGACGCTGGAAAAAGTGTTCATCTTGGCAGTGTTGGGGAACCATGTGGGGAGCTGGGGAGCAGACAGGCTGGTGTAGGGAGCTGGAATGTGCTGTGCCTGAAACCCTACCACTATAAACAACACTAAGATTAAAAAAGGAAAAAAAAAAACGGTGTGGCAAGGGTTGGAGAGATGTTTCAAAGGGCTGAACCATGCTTTGCACCTGGGAGACCCTTCAGGTTCCATCCCTGCATGTTTGGTCCCCTGTGCACCACTGAAAGCGACCCTGCTACACCCTCCCCCCAAATTAAGCTGGGAGTAGCCCTGAGCGCCATTAAATGTGGCCCCCAAAGCAAAAAGGGACTGCCAATCTATTTTCTTTTTTTTGCTTTTTGGGTCACACCCGGTCATGCACAGGGGTTACTCCTGGCTCTGCACTCAGGAGTTACTCCTGGTGGTGCTCAGGGGACCATATGGGATGCTGGGAATCGAACCTGGGTTGGCCGCGTGCAAGGCAAGTGTCCTACTTGCTGTACTATCTCTTCAGCCCCCTTTTTTTTTTGGCTTTTTGGATCACACCTGGTAATGCCCAGGGGTTACTGGACATTGCACTGGCTCTGCACTCAGGATTGCTCCTGGCGGTGCTTGGGGGACCATATGGGATGCTGGGGATCAAACCTGGGTCAGCCCCATGAAAGACAAACGTCCTTCCTGCTATACTACACTCTGGCCCCTGCTAATCTTGATATCAGGAGAAGGTGATGACTTCCTCCTGCTGCCATAGTAAGGACACATTCTTTAAGGTTCTAATGAATCCTTGGTGGGGACAAAGCAATAGTACAGCAGGTGTTTTCAGTGCATGAGGGCAACCCAGGTTTAATTCTCAGCATCCCATGTGGTTCCTCCCGCACCATCCGGAGTGATCCCTGAATACAAAGCCAGAAGTAAGCCCTGAGCACTGCCAGGTGTGGCCCAAAAGCGAAACAAACAAATAATAACAAAATATCTGATGAGATCTTTCACTTAAGTGATCATCCTGTTCTCCAACAACCTTTCACTCCAATGCTTCGAATCCCTGGAAGAGAACTTGCTGGTACCAGTGAGTTTAGGGATCGCCTAGAGCTCCCCTCCCCAGCCTCATTTCTCCTGCTGTGTGGTTCCTCTTTAAACAGTGACTCACTGAGACCCATACTTTCCCTTTTTTACTTTTCTTTTTTTCTTTCTTTTTTTTTCTTTTTTGGGTCACACCGGGCGATGCATAGGGGTTACTCCTGGCTCTTCACTCAGGAATTACTCCTGGCAGTGCTCGGGGGACGATATGGGATGCTGGGAATTGAACCCAGGTCGGCCGCATGCAAGGCAAACGCCCTACTTGCTGTGCTATCACGCCAGCCCCCATCATCCTCTCCCTTTTCTGCTTACATCTACACCCAGGTGTTCATCCTAGCAGTGTTGGAGAACCATGTGGGTGCTGGACAGAGAACCCAGGCCTCCTGCAAGCAAAGCATGAACCCTTTGAGCCTTCTTCTGCTTTTCCAGACAGCTCCCCTACCTCAAACTGCTTTTTTGGAAGGAAGGGGCTATACCTTAAGGTGCTCAGGGGCCATTTCTGGTTCTGTACTCAGGAATGACCCCTTGCCGTGCTTGGGGATACTATATTTGTGCCGGGGAAGGAATCTGGGCTGTACCATGTCAGACAAACATCTTACCTACTGTGCTATCTCTCTGGTCCCCCAAATTACTTTTTTGGGAGTTTGTTTTGGAGCACACCTGACTGTGCTTGGGGCTTACTTCTGGCTCTGAGCTCAGAGATCACTCCTGGTAGGGCTACCATATAGGGTTCTGGGGATTGAAACCAGATGTGTCATGTGCAAGACAAGTGTCCTACCCTCTTGTACTATCACTCCATCCTCCCCGCCCCCGACCCCCAATTACCTCTTGCTGGGTTTCCTCCTCAACTCCTTGCCCACCACAACCTCATCTGACCAATAGGCCAGAACTGGGGAGTCAACATCATCTCCTTTTACTTGCTGATCCCATCGCTTCCCTTTCAGCAAATCAACCAAAAACAAAAGGGCCACAAGAGGTCCCTAACAATTTCCAGCTATTTACAGTAATTAAAACTGTCGCAAAAGTGCCTCTCTCCGGGAAGGGAGCATAACATGACACTCGCCATAACCATGCCACCGGACCCGGTGCCAGGCTGTTTCACTTGGGGCGCCCTGGAGGGGGGCAGTGAGATCTCTGCCCCCCCAAAGGAACCCAGCCTCGGCAGCTGAAAACCTACAGAACTCAACGCCACCAAGCTTACAGATGCTCTCCACACACTCGGGCTAAGTCTCACCCACGAGTGAACATATTCCTGGACCGCACAGCCCCATTCGCAGCTGTGTGACACTTATACCACACACCCTACCCGTACTCTAAGTGTGCCACACCACAGTGGATGGGGTTCAAAGTAGGAGGCAACCAATCTCAGAGGGAAATATCTTTTTACAGACATATATATATATGTATATAAGCACACAAGGCTCAACATGTTAGTTATCTCTTATAGAGATAACATGTTAGTTATCTCTGATAGAGATAACAACATGTCAGTTATCTCTTATAGTGATAACAAGAAGTTAGTTATCACTTATAGAAGGGCTTAGTGACCCCTAGGTGAAATACAACAATCTTTACACTCTTTCCCCTAAGGATACTTTTCTGTAGCATTTTCATGAGTTTTTCATAACAAACAAAAAATATATTATTTTGGTTCTGCTTTGGGGCAGGGATTGGGGTTTGGGGATGGAAACATTCAAAATATGGTGGTGGAAAGGTGGAATGGTGGTGGGATTGGTGTTTGAATATTAAATGTATTTAAATATTGTGAACTACTTTATAAAAAAAACAATCAAAAAAATTAAAATGGTTGCAATGCTTGTTTGGGTGAGAGAATAGAGAGAGGAAATCAGTTCTGTTCTGTAAAGACTGAGGGGGAGGGGTCAAGCCACTGCCTTATACACAGAACTATCTCTCTCTCTCTCTCTCTCTGACACACCCAGCAATGCTCAGGGCTGACTCCTGGCTCTGCACTCAGGGATCACTCCTGGCAGGCTCTAGGGATCACATGTGCTGCTGGGGATCGAACCCAGCTCAGATTCAAGCTAGGCAAAAGCTCGACCCACTTACGATCACTCAGATCCCTGCACCCTAGGGCTTTCTGCAAAGACTTTCAACAATGCAACCTGGACTCTTTAGTCCCTAGATAGGAGACTCTCCAAAGAACAGAGATTTTAGAAGCTTTAGAAATCTTTGTGCTCAAACACGCTATTTTACATAGAAAGAAGGCTAGAGAAGTGACAGGCTGGGCCTCACTAATGGTGACAACCTGTCACGTTCCTTTCATTCCCTTCCCAAAGGCCCGGAGATTCAGATTCTGGGTCATACCCAGTGTTGCTCACTGGTCACTCCTGGCGGGGTTCGGGGTTACCATAAGGGGCTGCCAGGAATCGAACCCGGGTGGGCCACCTGCAAGGCAAGTGCCCTAGGTACCCACTGTACCGTCGCTCCGGCCTGATTTAGATGTTTAAAGGCCAGAAGAAGCCACAGGGGCCTCCTTCATTGCTTCCTGCAAATGGAGGGCATCACCGAGGCAACCTTGGAAAACTTTGCATCATCATCATCACCATCACCATCACCATCACCATCAGCATCACCATCACCATCATCATCACCATGATGCCACCAGGGGGGCTTTAGGACTAAAAACCAATCTTCCCGCAGGGCCACGAGGGAGCGAGCGAGGTGGGGATTTAATTTCGTTCGATTCAAAGGAACACATTCAAATTGGGGTGGGGACGGCGAGATCCTCGGGGGATGCGCCTCCGGGGCGCTCTCCGAATGCTGCTTTCTCCGAGACGGACCCGCCCTGCCGGTGACAGCGCGGCGGGGAGCCCAGAGCAAGCAGCCAGCCGGGGCGGCTCATCCTCCCCGTCTCCCGCGGCTTCACCCACACCGCGAGAGGAAGGCGGCTCCCGGGGCTTGTCACGCGCTGACGAGAGAGGAGAAAGTGTGTGTGTGTGTGGGTGGGGGTGCGGGGGGGAGGAAACAAAGCCGAGCGTGGAAAAAACCCAGCCCCGCAGCGCCGGGCGCACGGGAGACCGCGCCCTCGCTGCGGCGGCCGCGCGAGCTGCAGAGGCTGCGGAGCCGCAGTGCGGGGCGTGGGAGCCCCAGCCCGGCGGGCGCCTCCCGCCGCCGCGGTCCACGCAGCGCGCCCGGCCACGGTCCACCCGGGCGCAGCCGAGCATCCATCCCCGCAGCAGCGCGCCCGGGCGCAGCCACCCCCGCGCCGCGCATCCCGGGGCCACACACGCGCCCCCGCCCCGCGCGCGCCGTGCCCGGCCCCCCGCGCCCGCCCGCGCCAGCTCACCGGTGCGTGCGCCCATCCCGGAGCCGGCGAGCGGGCGGCGGCGTCCGTGGCCCCCTCCCCCGTGGCGGCGCGGCCGCAGAGCCGGGGCGGGCGGCGCGGCCCGGGCGAGCGCGGCGAGCAACAGGCGGCTCCGGCCGGGAGCGGCGCCCGACGAGCGCGCGGCCGCAGCGGGGCAGGCTGGGAAGCGTAGTCCGGGGCGGGCGGCGCGCGGTGGCCGCGGAGGCGGGACCCCTGCCCGGCGTCCCCGCCCCCGGCCCTCCCGGCAGGTGGCGGCTCCCGGTCGCGTCCCGACGCGCCGCCCGCGGGGAGGAGGGCCGGCCCCGGGGCAAGCTGCCGCCCCACCGGCCGTTATTCCGGAGACCTGCGTGGCGGAGCTGTGCCGGCTGGCGGCCGGGTGAGTGAGCGTCTTTGCCGGGGAAGAACGGGCTCGCCGGGCACCGCGGGGGTCGCGGGGCGGCCGACGGCAGGTGGGGTGGGGGAGAGGAGGGAGGAGCGGTCCGCGATCCGGGGTGGATTTGGACCCGGGGTGGAAAGTTTGGGGGAGAGGGTCTCCGGGAGGGAGCATCCCCCTCCCCCCGCGCGCACGTCCTCTCCGGTACAATAGCGTGAGAGCTTATTAGGCCACGTGGGGAGGAGCAGATGCGTGGTAGGGGCGCGTGTGGGAGCTGGGGTGTTCGGGGGTGTCAGGGATGGGGCATTCGGGGCGCGGGTGGGGGCCCTCTGGGATCCTCTATGGAAACGCGAAGGTGAAGGGAGCTGGGCCTTTGTTGGGTGAAGAGCAGCCCGAGATGCCACCCGCTTGGTTGTTGTCACCATTGGGCCGGTACCTTTCACCAGGGCTGCGTGCGCAGAGGCGCGCTCTGCCAGGCACTTGGGAGCTGCCAAGGCAGAAGATCCCATCTTCACTCTGGAGCATGCCAGTGGGGTCGGGCGACCTAGGACAAAAGCGTTTTGAAAATATTTGGCCTCTCATGAGCTGAAGTTCTAGCTGCCCTCCCTGGGCCCTCCTGCATACTTGGGCTGTAACTCTTGTTCCCGACACTTGTCTCCACAGTTGAAAATTTGCAAGCAGCTGCTATGCGGTATTTTACGTTATGGTGAGATTGGCATCTTGGGGATGGGATGAGAGAGGGGCATGAGTACCAGAGCAGGGTGCAGTCCTGGGGATGCAGGACCCCGGGACATAGTTCTGTCTGAAATAGGCAAGGATGAGTGGAGATGAAGCAGCCTCCGCCAGCTCTCATGACTGTGCGACAGTGTGACACCCCCCGCCTCCCACCAAAGCAAAGCCAAACCAAACAAAAAAACTCAAAGATTTCTTCCCACCAATTTCTATTCGAAAAGAACAGCACTTTGCATTTGTGAACATACTTTGCTATTCTTGTTCTCATTTGAATTTTGCAACAACCTGGGAAGTGCAAAGTGAGGATTTTCTCCAGCGTTCTGAGAGGCACAGAGAGGTGGAATGACTCAGCTGAGGTCATTCATGGGCTATGACTTATTCAAGACCATCCATTAAATGGTTATGAAGTCTCTTCTCTGCTTGCACCTTGGGCCTCCCCAAGAGAGCCATGTTCTTTCCAAGGTGTCCTTTTGAGCAGGACCATCCCTTCCCCAGCAGGAAGGCTGAATCAGGAAGTAGTTCATTCTTCAAGGCTCAGGGAGGACAGCACTGTAGCTGCTGACTGAGAAAGCAACTTGGGGGCCAAGGGGCCGGGGAGAGCCATAGTACAGCAGGTAGGGCACTTGCCTTGCACCCCGCCAACCCAGTTTCATCCCTGGCAACCCGATATGGCCCCCTAAGCCTGCCAGGAGTGATCCCTGAACAAAGAGCCCGGAGTAAGCCCTAAATATAGCTGGGTGTGGCCCAAGATTAAAGAAGAAACTGAGTTGGTCTCTACTCTCAACTGTGGTTGAGAATTATGGGCTGGGCCTCCTCTTCAGGCTGGAAGATCTGTGCTGGAGAGAGGTCAAGGGCATAGAGGTCCTATATGTTCATTGCAGCACTGTTCACAATAACCAAAATCTGGAAACAACCCAAGTGCCCTAGAACAGATGACTGGTTAAAGAAACTTTGGTACATCTACACAATGGAATACTATGCAGCTGTCAGGAGAGATGAAGTCATGAACTTTGCTTATAAATGGATAGACATGGAGAGGATCATGCTAAGTGAAAAGAATCAGAAAGAGAAGGACAGGCGTAGAAGGACTGCACTCATTTGTGGAGTATAAAACAACATAACATGAGACTGACACCTAAGGATAGTAGATACACGGGACAGGTAGATTGCTCTATAGCTGGAATGAGCAAAGGGAGAAGGCAGCTGGAATAGAGAAGGTATAACTAAGAAAATGATGGCTTGAAGATGGGAGATGTGTGCAGAAAGTAGATAAAGAACAAAACATGATAATCTCTCAGAATCTGTATTGCAAACCATAATGCCCAAAAGTAGAGAGAGAATATGGGGAATATTGTCTGCCATGGAGGCATGGGGAGGGTGGGAAAGGGGGGGTATACCGGGGACATTGGTGGTGGGGAACGTGCACTGGTAGAGGGATGGGTGTTTGATCATTGTGTGATTGTAATCCAAACAGAAAGCTTGTAACTATCTCAGAGTGATTCAATAAAATTTTTTTAAAAAAGGAGGGGGCATGGGGTGTGACCAAACTAGTTTAAATCACATTACCCAAGATTCCCGTCTATTATTATTCTAAATGTCCTGTATAACAGATACAGGACTTAAGACAAACAAACAAACTTCGTTCACTTCCTTGGGAGCCTCCCAAGCAGTGCTCAGCGAACCCCACTGAGAGGGAGCTACTCACTGTTCTACCTGACCAACTGGGTTGACGGGCTGGGGGTTGGCAGGGCTATGTGGAGATACTGAGTTACTGGGGCTTTAAACTTGGGCCTTTGTGCATGCAAGGCTTGAACTTTTTTGTTTGTTTGTTTTTACCTGAAAACAAGGTTTTTTTTTTGAAAAAAAAAAGTTCAAATTACAAATCAGATAAAACAAATACATAATGTATCAACAAAAGGTTAAAAATTAGAGTAGAGCTGAAGAATGTAAAAGTTAAAATAAAGTTATTGCCATTGGTGGTGAGAAATGTACACTGATGGGTGTTGGAGTATTGCATGACCAAAACCCAATCATGAACTACTTTGTAACAGTATCTCTCAAAGTGATTCAATAAAAACATAAAATGAAAACCAAAAAAAAAATCCATTGTACAGTTGGGTGTGGTATTTGAAATAATCAGTGTCACACTAACAAAATTAAATGAACATGGTTGAAAACAAGACCAGGTACTGAAGGGTACTGAAGGATAAACTTGAAACAAAATCACACATAGATTTGAAAATGTAAAATAGTTTTTTCAAAGGTACTAAAGAAATGCAAAATAAATGTGGGAGTATGTTTTATAAAGGGCATGTATGCACTTTTGACTCCTGAGCTGTCTGGCCACCATGATAACCTTTTTGTTTGTTTTTGGTTCATATCTGGCAGTGCTTAGGGGACATTTGGGGTCCTGGGGATAGAGCCTGGGTCAGCTGCATGCACAGAAAATGTTCTGTCCTGTCTACTATTACTCTAGCCCATGATGACTTCTATATCACGTGTTTGTAAGAAGTCATAACCTTCTGTTAATGTGAGATGCTTGCAGATCAGTCTAGCAGTTTTCCCAGAGAAAACTGGAAATAAGGTGTTATAATGGAAGATAATCATGACAATTTCATTCAGATTGGATAGTAATGGCTTTCTATCCTTTTTTATTTTTGTTAGCAATGGGTTTCCTATAGCAGAAGCTTTGATGATTGGTCGTGTGCCAACTTTTTGTTGGTTTTGTTTTGGTTTTGGATTCCTTGTGGATTTCCACAAGGAAAATGTCTGGGAGTGGTAAAATAGAGCATGACTTTGACTAAAGACTGTAAAAGGAAGCAGGAATAGAAATGATTTAAGTTGGCGCCTGAGAAATAGTGCAGCAGGTAAGACACTTGCCTTGCATGTGACCCACTTAGTTTGATCCCTGGCATCCCATGTGGTCCCCTGAGCACTGCTAGGAGTAATTCCTGAGCAGGAGTAACCCCTGAGCTTTGCTGGGTGTGGCCCAAAACTTTAAAAAAAGGTATAAGTTAAAGTTGTAGTTGACTGCCAAGCAGAGCTTTAAGAACTTATCCAATAAGGGACAGAGCAATAGTATGGTAGGTAGGGTGTTTGCCTTACGGGTGGCCAAATGGGGATCGACACTGGGCATCCCATATGAACCCTCCATCACTACCAGGAGTATTCCTGAGTGTAGAGCCAGGAGTAACCCATGAGTGCCACTGGGTGTGCCCCCTCACCCCTCTTGCCTCACCCCTGCCAAAGAATTTATTCAACAAACCCTAAAGACAGGTACAAGTTCTGGGATATGTTAGCACCAAACTAAACTAACAAAAGTGAAGTATGAAGAGTAACTTTCCTTCCTTCCTTCCTTGCTTTTTTCTTCCTTCCTTTTCCCCTTCCTTTCTTTCTTCCTACCTTCCTTCCTTATTTCTTTCCTTCCTTCTTTCCTTCCTTTCTCTCTTTCCCAGGGATCAGATACAGGCCTCATTCATGGACACCATGTGCTGTACCACTAGGGTCCATCCCTGCCAAAAAGTTCTTTCTGTGCCATGAGGGCTGTGTTAGTATAAATGGACGAGTGAGGAAGGTCAGGCACTTAAACTTTCCAGTTTTATTTTTGTTTTGGTATTTTACTTGTTTGTTGTTGGAATATACCCAGTGATGGCCAGCAGCTCCTTCCAGCTGTGCTCCGGAGAACATGGAGTGCCAGGGCTCAGACCCAGGGCTCCCACATGTGAAACCTGTGTGCTCCTGTCTTTGAGCAGCTCTCCAGACCTTAAGATTTTAATTAAATTATTTTATTTTGGCTTTTGGGTTACCCCCAGTGGTGCTTGGGGGACCAAACATTGCCAGTGATCATGCCTGAGTTTCCTGTGAGCAAAGCCTGCGTACATTCAGATTATTAAGCTATTTCTCCAGTCCCAGTTTCATTTTATTTTATTTTTGGGGGTATATGGTCATACCTGGCAGTGCTCAGAATCACCTTCAAACGATCCCTTGGGTGTTACTCCTGGCAGGTCTTGGAGGAGCATATGTGGTGACAGAGATCACTAGAGTGCAGGGCCAGTGTATTAAGCCCCCTACTGTCTCAGTGGTCCTTAATTAAAATTTTTGTTAATCATTTTGATTTGGGGGAAGCATCTGGTAATACTCAGGGCTTACTCCTGGCTTTGCACTCAGAGATCTTCTTGTGGGACTCCGGGAACCATATGGGGTACTGAGGATTAAATCCAGATCAGCTACC